CTCAGCAAGCTTCCAAGTAAAAGCCTCTCAAGTGTTAAAATATATATTTCACCTCTGCTGCATGCTACAGATTGAATCGGAAGTGACTCCACATTCTGGAGAATTCTTCCATTTCCTGGATGTGTATTTTTTTGCTCCGGGTCCACAGGAACAGCAGGATATTGCCAAGTTGAAACAGTTCACCCCTCCATCTTCTCCCCAATTTTAAAGCTGGAGCTTTTTGTTCAGTTCCCTGTTGGCTGAGATAACTTTCAACTCTTCGGTAGTGTTGGGGTAGTCTTTGTTTAGCAACACTTAATTGGAACTACTGTGTTTTCCCAAAAGTAAGACTCTTATATTAATTTTTGCTCCAAAAGATGCATTAGGGCTTATTTTCAGGTTAGATCTTATTTTGGGGGAAATACGGTACTAAAATGCCTCCATCTGGCTGATGATCTTAACGGGCTTATTTTTGGGGTAGGGCTTATACCACGAGTATCCTGAAAAATCATGTGAGGGCTTATTTTCCAGTTGGGTCTTGTTTTGGGGAAAACACGTTAGCAACTCCACTGCTAAGCCAAACGGTTGCTAAATGGAACATCACAGGATTGCAACTGTGCTCACCAGCTGAAAAGAGACTGTTCAGTTTTACACTTTTGGCTTTTGTTTGCCTCTTGACCCCCTCCCCTGCCCTTTCAAATGCGCAAGGGCCTGCCTGCAGTCTTGTGTACACATCACAAGCAGTGTCATTGTGCCTTAACCCAGGGCTGTGGCTGTGGACACATTACACAAGCAGTTTACAGTACGGTACTCTCTTGCAATCCCTTCTTCTCCAATCTCTCCGTTTTGCAGGGAATGGATGGAGGGGGAGAGGAGAGAGAGCAGCTGATTTCTCTAAGCCACGGGTGTCAAACTTGTGGTGTCACATGACATATCGTGATTTCCCCCCCCCTTCGCGGAGCTGGGGTGGGCATGATGCATCCGGCCCACGGGCTGCCAGTTTGACACCCCTACTCTAATGTGCATGATCACACAGCTTTTGTTGTGTAGAAAAGCAAACAGCTTAGTCTCTTGCAATCCCTTTCTCCCCAACCAATCTGGGTAAAGCAAAGGTGGGGAAAAATGGCCCCTTTATAACTTGTGGACTTCAACTCCCAGAATTCCTGAGCCAGCACGGCTGGTTTAGGAATTTTGGGAGTTGAAGTCCACAAGTCCTAAAAGGGCCATCATTCCCGGAACCCTGGGATAGAGGGTGCGAAAGACAACCAGTCAGGCACGGGATACCATGTTCTGAGTACAATGGCAATCATATGACTGAGGGATGCTATGATGGTCCTAATTTAATTTAATTTAATTTAATTAATTCAATTTATATGCCGCCCCTCTCCGAAGACTCAGGGTGGCTCACAATACATTTTAAAAAATCATTATAAAAAATATTTAAAAATTAAAAACATTAAAAACTCATTCATACCATTCATGGCTGGATCACAAGAGCGAGATCAACGGCCCCAGGCCTGCTGGAAAAGCCAGGTCTTCACCGCTTTTCGGAAGGCCAATAGGGTGGGGATGGTCCGGACCTCAGGAGGTAACTGGTTCCAGAGAGCTGAGGCAGCCACAGAGAAGGCCCTCTCCCGCGGACCTGCCAGCCGGCATTGTTTAGCTGACGGGACCCTGAGGAGACCAACTCTGTGGGATCTTACCGGTCGCTGGGAGTTATGTGGTAGAAGGCGGTCTCGAAGATAACCTGGCCCTGAGCCATGTAGGGCTTTAAAGGTAATAACCAACACCTTGAATTGCGCCCGGAGACCGATAGGGAGCCAGTGCAGCTCACGGAGAATTGGTGTAATGTGGGTGTATCTAGGTGCACCCACGACAGCTCGCGCAGCTGCGTTCTGGACCAACTGTAGTCTCCGAACACTTTTCAAGGGTAGCTCCATGTAGAGCGCGTTGCAATAAATGGGCATAAAGTTATTTTTCCAGCACCATGATAACTTCAAACAGTCTCTGGATAAATGGCCAGTGAGCTAGCAACCACCTGTAAGCGCACTTCATTTTCCCCCAAATAATTATTCGAACTAAGCCATCATTTCATCATTCCAGTATTTTCACACTTATATTCAGAAAATAAGTGCAGAGGGCTAATAGACCGCAGTTAATTTACGAGCCTGGGTAGAAACCAAGCACTTACTTCCACTAATCTCCCACAACGATCTAGGCCCTTCAGTTAATTTTTAACAAGCTTTTATCAAAGAATCCGAATCAATCCGTTTCGTAATCCCTTCTAATCGGTTTCCTTTTAACTTCTGAAACGACTCTTCTTCTTCTTTTTTTTTTTTTTGGGACAGGCTTTTGACTCAAAATCCTGTTTAAACAGAAAAGTTCAGGCTTTTGGGGGGGGGCTCCAAATCATTTGGCAAAGCATATATAAAAGAGATGAGGCTTTGATCGCCTCATTGTCATCATTTTTGTTTTTCTGAATCCCCCATGGACATCCCTGCTGGGTGCCCAGCTTCCGAACTCAAGATGCACACACAAGAAAGCTTCTAGGAGTTTAGTGTTTTGTGATGGGATATAGAATAGAATAGAATAAACAGAGTTGGAAGGGACCTTGGAGGTCTTCTAGTCCAACCTCCTGCTTAGGCAGAGAACCCTACACCACTTCAGACAAATGGTTATCCAACATCTTATTAAAAACCTCCAGTGTTGGAGCAAACACAACTTCTGGAGGCAAGTTGTTCCACTGATTAATTGTTCTCACTGTCGGGAAATTTCTCCTTAGTTCTAAGTTGCTTCTCTCCTTGATTAGTTTCCATCCATTGCTTCTTATCCTACCCTCAGGTGCTTTGGAGAATAGCTTGATTCCCTCTTCTTTGGGGCAGCCCCAAATTGGAAGACTGGAAGACTGCTATCATGCCTCCCCTGGTCCTTCTCTTCACTAGACTAGCCATGCCCAGTTCCTGCAACCGTTCTTCATATGTTTTAGCCTCCAGTCCCCTAATCATCTTTGTTGGTCTTCTCTGCACTCTTTCTAGAGTCTCCACATCTTCATCTCAAGTCTCAACAGTGATTCATTTAAGAACTGTGGCATATTCTTTGTTTGAATATGTTTGGAGAAAACTCCACAGCAATTTTTCGTGCGGCTGTTGATAAAAATAGGATCGTCAACACGATCGCCAACATCTGATGATGGATATGGCACAAGAAGAAGAAGAAGAAGAAGGGATATGTAGTCCTTGCTTAGTCACTATGTGCAGTTACGATGGTGACGGAAAAGTAACCTCATGAGTAATCCTTACATCTATGACCTTTGTAGGTCCATAAACACAAGGAAGAATGGTTCTTTACTTTAAGTGAATAAACGTTTCACTTAACAATTTGTGGTTACTTAAATGAGTAATATAATACTATATTGCACCACTGGTAAAAGTATGGGGTTGAATGAGAAGGAGGGGAAGGGGAAAGTTGACATTTTCTCTGATAGAAAAATGTCAGCTATCTTGTCCAGGGACAGCTGCTCCTATTGTAACGTAATTCTTCATTTTTCCCCTTGACTTTAAAAACAAAAACGGTACCCTTGTGCAGAATTTCCCCTCTGTGGAAGATTTTCTTCAGCTAAACTATTATCCGGAAAGTTTCTATCTAAGCAGTTAAAAAAAAAAAAAAAAAAAGGAAGTAGCAATTGAATCCCACGTAAAATTCTGTGCACGAAGCATTTGCTATTAAAGAACTCTGGACAAAATGTATAAACTCTCTCTCTCTTTTTATTTAAAGAATATAATATTGGACGTTCGTTTCCCCAGGGCATTTTTTCTCCACTTTATTAAACAGGTGCAGTTTTATTAGACTATATCTGGGTTTGTGTTGCGTACCAAGCTAAGCTAAACGGGATTGGGTAGTTTATAGTTCAATATTGCAGGTGTAAACCAGGTTTGTCGTGAGCCAGGTTTTCAACTTGGAATTTGGATATGTTTTATTTCGTGGAATACAGCATTTTACGTCAATGCCCTTTTGTTAACTAAAATGTGGATGTACTTACAGCCATGCACTTAGTGATCGTTTAAAATTGCGATGGCGCTGAAAAAAAGGGACTTACAATCGATCCTCTTGTCCTGGTTGCTAAGTGAATCACTGCACTTGTTAAATTAGTAACATGGTTGTTAAACAAATCCCCATTTTATGACTTTTCTTGCCACTTTCGTTAAGTGAATCCGTTGTTAAACTAGTGACACGGCCATTAAGCGAATCCGGCTTCCCCGTTGACTTGGCTCGTCAGAAGGTCACAAAAGAGGATGATATGACCCCTGGACCCTGCAACCGTCATAAATATGAATCACTTGCCAAGCAGCTGAATTTTGATCACATGACCACGGCGACGTTGCAACGGTCATAAGTGTGAAAAACGGCCCTAAGTCACCTTTTTTTCAGCAACGATGATGATGATGTCACTTCGAACGGACACTAAATGAGCTGTTGTAAGTCAAGGACAACCTGTATTCAGTTGTGAAGAATATTTCAACAATAGCATTTCAGCAGAAGAGGACTTGAAGCTCAAACATTGCTTTTCAAACCACGGCACCCTTGTGTTCTTACCGAGTCTGTTTATCTCCGTGTTTCTTTTTAAAGAAAGCAACCTTTCCCCTTCCATTATTTAGCATTATTAATCACACAATACCCTTTTCAAAAGGTATACAATGGGACTATATGCTCGACATGCGATAGAACGCATCTTTTTAGAACCGTTTGTGGGGGGAAAAAAGGATAAGGGGGGAAGAGTAGTGTATACGGAAGCGTTGCTGTTTCACCGAAACCCACCACCAACTGGCATGGACAGAAGGTAGCAGAACGTTACACGCAGACATGCAAACTTAAATATAGAAAGCAGCACACCCTGAGAATTGGAAAGCGAGCTTGGGAAAAAAAAAATCGAACTGCACCAGTAGCCGCCATCTGGAACTGATTTCTCAGGAAGCATCTCCCCGCTCGCAAATTCACAACCGACTTTCTCTTTTCCTTAACAGCTGCCAGAGCTGTGCAGGTCCCTCGGCCACGTCTCGCAGCATCATCACAACATGGTCGCCGTCGTGCGTTGCTTCCCGGATACCACGACTAGAGGACGGTGAGTCCTTTCCGCGTGGCGACTAGCTCTCCGACACGATTGGGGGAACGGGGCGGAAGGAGGCACGGGACGGGATGCGCCCACCAATGCAAAGCAGAGCAAAGTGGGGCAGTAAAATCTTAGCGGTCCAGCCTCCTGATTACCACCTGTGCCAGGTGTGATTGGTCAGGAAAGAAGTCTGGGGCAAGGGGTGAAATCCAGCAGGTTCTGACAGGTTCTGGAGAACCGGTAGCGGAAATTTTGAGTAGTTCGGAGAACCAGCAACAGTGGTGGGTTCCTCCCAGTTCCGCTGAGCCGGTAGCGGTGATGATATGACGTCACCGAACCAGTTCTGCCCCCCCCATACCCGCCCACGTTATTCTTACCTTTTATTTGGCCCCGCCCCCAATCTATTGCTGCCTCCTGAGTCCCAGCTGATCGGCTAGAAGGAAAAAAAACTTTTAAAACTCTTGCCGTGGGGCTTCAAAGGGCCGCCCTACAGCTGATCAGTGTTAAAAGGCAGTGTGGTGATAGACCGGTGCCTCCAAAAACAAATGAGTAGACTGGTACAGCTCTGCAAGCAGTTAAAAGCCTGGTAGACCAGTACCTCTGCTAAATCCTAAAGGATTGTCATATGACCATTAAGCCACACCCACAAAATAAGCCACGCCCACAGAACCGGTAGTAAAAAAATTTGGAACCCAACCCTGACCGGCAAATACCACCTCTGGCTGGCCCCAGAGGGGTGGGAATGGGGATTTTGCAGTATCCTTGCCCCAGGAGTGGGGTGGGAATGGAGATATTGCAGTATCCTTCCCCTGCCACGTCCACCAAGCCACACCACACCACGCCCACAGAACCGGTAGTAAAAAAATTTGAATTTCACCACTGGTCTGGTGGGATAATACAGAGCCCGGTAAAAATATTGGCCTGGTTTGCGTTGACGGAAAGGCCAATTCCACGTTGGGAAGCATAGCCGTGGGTCAGAAAACAAACACACCAAATTTTGATGGGCTGTTTTATTCGGTGCGTTGCCAAAAGTGAGCTGGGAGATTTCCAGGAAACGGTGAACAGAAATAGCGACGAACTGAAGCTCTTCAACTGTAGGAGGTTACAGCAATTTGGGCTTTTTTTAAGCTTTAGAGGAAAAAAGCTGGAAGGAGAGGCTACGGATTTAAGCAGTAAGGAATCGCATAGATAAATGGGAATTTATTCACTTTTTTAAAAGATAGTCCTTGGCTTATGGTCACAATGGAGCCCAAAACTTCTGTTGCTAAGCAAGACATTTGTTGTTTTGCCCCCCCCTTTGTGACCTTTCTTGCTGTGGATGTTAAGTGAGTAACACGGTTGTTAAGTGAATCTGGCTTCCCCATTGACTTTGCTCATTAGAAGGTCGCAAAAGGGGATCGCACATGACCAGTGGACACAGCAACGGTCATAAATATGAGTCAGTTGCGACCGACATAAATATGAACCAGTTGCCAAGCATCTGAATTTTGAACCTGGGGATGCTGTAACGGTCATAAGTCCCTTTTCTCAGCGCCGTTGTAACTTTAAATGGTCACTAAACAAACTATTGTAAATCGATGACTACCTGAATTTGTTAAATTTATTTGCCGTCTGTCTCGCCATGGGGGCTGCCCGAGGCGGTTGTTTTGCCCCAGCTACGGACCCCAAAGAATGCAGTTTGATCGCCTTGCAGTCCAAGGGCCTCGCAGGAGTCTTCTCCAGCACCAGAGTTCAAAGGCCTCCATTCTTTGGCCTTCTCAGCCTTCCTTACGGTCCAACTTTCACAGCCATCCATTGCAACTGGGAAAACCATCGCCTTGACTATACGCGCTTTTGTTGGCAGGGTGATGTCTCTGCATTTTAGTATGCTGTCTAGATTTGCCATAGCTTTCCTCCCCAGGAGCAAGCGTCTTTTAATTTCTTGGCTGCAGTCCCCATCTGCGGGGATCTGGGAGCCCAGGAAAATAAAATCTGTCACTACCTCCATTTCTTCCCCATCTATTTGCCAGGATGGATGATCGTATGCGGTAGTAAATTTCTTAGTGCCCTTTGCTGGGGAACATGTGCAAAAGACAAGTCCTTGTGCCCCTTTTTTCACCCGTTCTTGGGGGGTGGGGACACCTGGCTGAAGGAGTCCCTTCTCAACTTCGGAAGTTGAGAAAAAAAAATGTAAAAAGCACATTTACCATTAGGGACCTAGAGCAAATCTAAGCTCAAAGGCACCGCTTTGTTTTCTGCTCCTTATCATCTGTGTTGAGTAGTTGGTTGATCTCTTGCCCTGATTGGCTTTAATGGACTTCTTGTCCCTTAAGAAGCAAGTTCTCCAGCTGAGGAGGAGATTAGGCAGCTACGAAAACAGATTTTAAAAGCCCAGAGGTTAGGCTGAAAGTAGCAGAGGACAATTGGAAGATGGAGGAGTTTTAGAAGAAGGAATCTGAACACTAGAATTGCAGCGAAAGAAAAAGCAAGATATAACCAATGTTTAAAGAGCCTCTTGATGCGGGTGAAGAAGGAGATTGCAAAAGTTGGCTTGAAACTCAACATTAAGAAAACTAAGATCATGGCATCTGTCCCTCTCAATTCCTGGCAAATAGATGGGGAAGAAATGGAGGTAGTGACGGATTTCATTTTCCTGGGCTCCAAGATGACTGTAGATGGGGACTACAGCCAAGAAATTAAAAGATGCTTGCTCCTGGGGAGGAAAGCTATGGCAAATCTAGACAGCATACTAAAAAGCAGAGACATCACCCTGCCAACGAAAGTGCATCTAGTCAAGGCGATGGTTTTCCCAGTTGCAATGGATGGCTGTGAAAGTTGGACCATAATGAAGGCTGAGAAGGCCAAAGAATGGAGGCCTTTGAACTCTGGTGCTGGAGAAGATTCCTGCGAGTCCCTTGGACTGCAAGGCGATCCAACCGGTCCGTCCTAGAGGAGATCAACCCTGACTGCTCTTTAGAAGGCCAGATCCTGAAGAGGAAACTCAAATGCTTTGGCCACCTGATGAGAAGGAAGGACTCACTGGAGAAGAGCCTAATGCTGGGAATGATGGAGGGCAAAAGAAGAAGGGGACGGCAGAGAACGAGGTGGCTGGATGGAGTCACTGAAGCAGTCGGCGTAAGGTTAAATGGACTCCAGGGGATGGTAGAGGACAGGAAGGCCTGGAGGAACATTGTCCATGGGGTCGCAATGGGTTGGACACGACTTCGCAACTAACAACAACAACAACAATCTTCCAAAAGAATGCCTTTCACTGAACCTTGTGGCAGGAAGTTACAATTAAACAATAGAGTAGCTTGCCTCCTGGAGTCGTGGCTGCTCCATTGCTGGAGGTTTTCTGAAGCATAAACTGGATAAGCATTGGATCAGAATGGTGTTAGGTCTCCTGCCTTGAGAAAGGGGGGTTGGATTAGAAGACTGTCCAGCCCTGTGATTCTATGTTCTATGTTCTAAAAGCATTCATCACAAAGCCAAAGTTTATACACTTTATTCCTGCTCTCCCTTGAAGACTTTTGTGAAGATGGGTTCATGGCCACTTCAGTCCTGATTTGTCCTTGATCAGTTCCTAGGAGTTGGCAGCAAGACCTGCATTACATTGGTACTTCACCAGCCTTTAGATTGTTAATTGACTTCCTTCCTTCCTTCCTTCCTCCCTCCCTCCCTCCCTCCCTCCCTTCCTCCCTTCCCTCCCTCCCTGCCCTCCTTTTCTCCCTTCCTTCCTTCCTTCTCTCCCTCCTCCCTTCCTGCCCCCCTTTTTTCCCTTCCCCCCTTCCTTCCTTCTCTCCCCCCTTCCCTCCCTCCCTTCATGTCCCCCTTTCTCCCTTCCTTCCTTCCTTCCTTCCTTTCTTATTTATTTGTTTGTTTGTTTGTTTGTTTGTTTGTTTGTTTTATACGCCGCCCTTCTCTGGAGACTCAGGGCGGCTTACAATGCGTTAAGCAATAGCCTTCATACTTTTGTATATACCTGCTTAGTAGGGCTTTCGGCCCCCCCAAGCGGTGTTCTTTTTTTATACAAAGTCAGCTTATTGTCCCCACAATCCGGGTCCTCATTTTACCTACCTCGGAAGGCTGGAAGGCTGAATCAACCTTGAGCCTGGTGAGATTTGAACTTGCAGTAATTGCAGGCAGCTGGTGCTACTTAACAGCACTTTAGTCTGCTGCGTCACCAAGGCTCATTCCCTCCCTTCCTTCCCTCCCACCCTCCCTCCGGACATTTTAGGATATTTTAAATACCACTGATAATTTCTGGAGTAATCCAAACTCTTTCTATTTCTTAGAGTCTGTAAAGCATTTTGTAGCAAGACCATAATAATCTTATTGTGGTCTGGTGCGGTCTGGTCTATATTGGCCAAAAAAAAAAAAAAAAAAACCCCAAACCCCACAAGATTGTGATTACAATGGTGTGATCAACGCTCTACCCATTTTTGTTGTGCACTGACACACATAGAAATGCCTTCTACACAATCCTGTTTTGCAACGTAAACAGTCTAACTTAGCTTCTGAACTTAGTGGGTGGCTGAGAAGTCACATAGGACATCTGTAGCTGGTCAGAGAAATTGCAGGACATTGTAAGAAAGACTCCAACTGTCAAGAATTTCTGTTGTTGGGTGGAGCACATTTTCTTCCTGGGAAGAGTTGCTAGAAATCTCCCACGGATTTCCTAAACCTTTGCCCAGTGCTTTGTTTGAAGGAGGAAGGTCTTTAGGTCACCTGTTCCTGGAGCCAAGCCTTCAAGTCCTGGTGAAAGGAAGTAGGAAAAAGTGCTGTCAAAGATGGGCTGGACCGTCTCACTTCTTCTGTCCCATTAGAGCAGGGGTCTCCAAACTTGGCAACTTGTTGGACTTCAACTCCCTGGATTCCCCAGCCAGCATGACTGGCTGAGAAATCCTGTTGAGTTGAAGTCCACAGATCTTAAAGTTGCCACGTCCGGAGACGCCTGATATGGAGGCTGCTTCTGTCTCATTCTGGCTCCCTCCTTTCCTCCAAAATAGATAAGAATGTTTTCAAGAGTGTTA